GTGTGTATGTATGCAAGTCTCGTATACTCGAAACGGTCGATTATTTAAATCGATGCGTCTAATAATTGATAGCGCGAGGGGAAAATTTTTCATTCGGACGTGCGGCGAATTTGTGCCGTTAATTTCCGGTGAAAAATAGTAACTCACCGAGAGGAAATCTCGTCGAGATTAATACTAGTTTCATTGGTAGGTAGTTATAACCGTCGCGCTCCGCGAAAATTAAATCGAATTCCAAACATAGTCGACCGCGGATGTACAGGAGTGGGTTCGAAACAGCGGGAAGGGGAGGATTCGAAATAGCGGAAAGGGGAGTTTGAACTTCCTGTTCCGGGGATGACAGGTCCTAGGTCGGAGTTAATTAGCGGGGCGGCATGCCGCGATTAGTCAGACGCGATCGATCCGGAAGTGCGTGACGGTTCCATTAGCACACCCGGTATGCAGGTCCGCTCGGACGCGGATACGTAAGGTATTCGGCTATTAACGGAGATACGAGCAGATTCCAGCCGATGTTCCAGCCGGAAACTCCATTTACCTTTTCATTGCACGTTGCACGTGCGCGCGACCGTGTTATCGCGCGATATTATCATTAATATTATCGCGATAACGTAATTCAGCGACCATGAAATCCGCTCATCATAATGATGATGAAGTTATAGCGTTCGTAAAAAAAAAAAAAGTAACAAACTGATTTGTAGATTTCTCAAGAAAACGGTCTTCGCTCATTCGGTTGCTCAACCGCGTGTAACGTAATCGCGACGAGAATCATTAGTTCGAATAAACAAATCGCGCTTTTATCGATAACTCTGACACGGAACATCAATTTCTGTATTTTCGCTTCTCTCTCTCTCTCTCTCTTTCTTTCTCTCTTTGGCGCGATTTAATATTACAACTCGTGCAAAACGAATTCCTGTTTGATTACGAGTCCGTTGCATTATCACGGCGCGATATACCGCAAACTATCATATTTCGCTTATCAATCCCAATAAATACTACAGCGCGCGCGTTTTAGAGCGACGCGCGCGCGATAAGGCCACGTCATTTTTGCGGGATATTTTTCACGGTGCTTTCGCTCCGCCAAGGATTTCGCACGTCAGTTTTCGCAAACGAGAGGGGTCGCGCTCTATCTCGCGCGCATAATTCACCCCCGCGTTTATTACACGTTTTATTTATGCGTATTACGCGCGACCGTCGCGACGCAAAGCGACGCGGCGCGCCGAACGTTTTTTATGCAAAACGGAGTCATTTTCGCAACACGCCGTACATACACATACGTGCGCGCGCGCGCGCGAGCACGGCCGCTCTCCGCTCTCCGCCAACTCTCTCGATCGCGTAATATTCGCGAAAATAACTCCTGCCGCGCCTTTTTTTTCGCGGTGAGATTTTCACCGTGGCGCAAATTGCAGTTACGAAGAACGCGAACGGAATACATTAACCGTTAGATTTTATGCAACGCCCATAGTCGTTAAATAAACGCGAATTAAAATATACGGATTGTTTCTTGAAAGTGCCATTTTGTTGGCAAAGCTGAAATTCCTCTGATCTTTGAGACTCTTCTGAAGAAAAGAGCTAACTAACTCTTCAATTTGAATATATTATAATTTTGTTATGTTTTTGAGATATTTTTTCAGAACAATAATCGCGTTGTGAAAACGTATGTTGAATATATCTCTCGTTGCACTTTGTGTGAGTATCATCATCGTTATTATACAAACAATACAGTTCGCGATGGCGAACATTCCACGTACATTTGCGCGCTCTTCTGTCTCCTCCTCTCCCCGTTCGTTGATTCCCGCAAAGTGCAGAACAAACGACGGGGCTTGACAGTCGCGAGTGCGTAACTCGATACTCTCGCGATATTTTCGACTCTTCGAGAGAAAATCAATGTTAAAGAGCGGCTATAGCCAGAAAGAAAGGGGGATCAGCAGAGGACGGAGGATAGAGTAAAGAGATGGCGCGAAATTGAAATTGCGAAGGCTCGCCGGGTCAAACCGGAGAGCGAAAGAGAGAGAGAGAGAGATGCAAGAGAAAGAGAGAGCATGAGGAAAATTGTGGCAAGGGGTGCAAGAGCGCAGAAAGGGATGAATAGGGAGACGGGGGGAGACATGTGCCGACGGGAAAATTGAGCGTTTCACCTGCACAGATTCCATAATTAAAATCAGTCGGTACCCGCTCGTCATTGTCCGTACCACGCGCGGACGTTCACCCCTCCCCGCGTGCCTCAACCCCTCTTTCTCGTTTGTGTTTCCCTCATTCTCCCAGATCACTGTCACCCTTCCGTCCACATTCGACGTCTCATGTACATTTTTGCACTATTTAACGAGAAAACTTTTCAAATCACATTCGCTGACCCTCTCTCGTCGTATATCGCCGCGAGAAAAATGCGTGAGTTTCGAACGCTCGTCGCGAGGGGAACGACAAGATCCCAGATCGCAAAATTACACTTTTCGAATATGATGTTATAATACTATTGGGAAATTTTTTATATTTTTCAAATAAGTTTTTCACAAAATTTTGCTTGATTTTTTTTTTTTTTTGGTAACACATGCGAGGAGAGTAATATCCTAAAAAGCACTCGGTTCGCGTTTCCTTTAAGTGACTGGAAAATACAAAATCTCTCGTATTTAAGTAGCGTTCTTTAGGAAAACGAGCGATAGCGAAGACGCGAGGTGAAGAAGATGCAGGAGAAAGGACGAAGTTACTGCAAGATCGAGCGGAGTCCTCAAAGTGGCTCGACGACTCGTTATAAATTGTCGCAGAGTCGGCTCGGTAATAGGGCGGCGGAGTACAGCACGAGGGTGAGTCGCCGGAGTTGGGCATAAGTTCGACGATCGCCGAGTTTCTTCCGTTGGAACAAATTAATTCTGCGGAGAACAAAGACAGCTCGAGATGAATTCGCCGTTTTAAGCTGGCAAATCGCGTTTTGATAACGCTACCGAATATTGATTGAGAAATTAAGAGGATCGGGAAAAAGTTTTGCTCGAAAAGTTGTTCGGATTTAAATTATTATACACAAACGCTAATCGAAGTTGAGGCAATAACTCGTTTTAACAAAACAATAATATATTGATAATAATTTTAGAAATATATATATATATAAAAAAGCCATTGAAAACTATGCGACAAATCTGAAATATTTTTTACACAGTGTGCAAAACCTGGAAAAAAAATTAAAAATCTGTTAGCGTCAAGAGACTATCGGATGTAATTCGCCCTTTTCAAAGGCAAAGTTGAAGGGCTCTGGTTTCACTTTAATTCCTAGCTATGTATCTCTTTCCTTCCTTCCATTCCCTTCCTCCCCCATCTTTCGCCATTCGGAGAAATCTCCCTTTTGTCTCGTCTTCCGGCTCGTCAAAAATTAATTCCTAATCGAGTTAGCTCTCTTTCCTGGCACGGAACTCATTAAGGAAGTTGCACGTTCCTTTGTGCAATGCCCAGCCACCCTCTCTCTTCTTGTCTCTCGCCTCACCCGCCCTCGTAACATTTTCCGTGCTCGCAGTCCTAATCGCGTCGAGATAAAAAAGTTTGCGACGCCACGACCGAAAGAATTGTCTGTTTGTTCCAACTTCTTCAAGAAACGAATCACGTAAATTTATCGATAACGGAAACGACGATCGTTCTCGCTGATATTGAATTGCGATGGGATTTAATATATTTCTCGTTTAAAGAGAGAAAAATATTTTTTAATTTTTGTTTTCGCGATTCTGTTATTAGATCTCGATGCGTTTCAACAACTGCAAGATTCCACAAGTAAGAAATTTTGTTCACTGGAAGCACTGGAAAAGTAAAAACTCGCGAGCGGGAAAAATTAATTATACAGAATTTCGCGAAGTAGAGAAGAAATATCGGCTGATTTTCATCCGCCGGAAATAGTGTGTCCTTCCACAGGAATATATCTCGTCTCTCTTCTTCGATAATACTGTTACATCAAAGGCCGACGGGCCCGCGCAAAACTTTTAAGTCACTTTTAATGTAAAGTCGACTGCTCTGCGCAAACTACTTTCCGCTGCCGAGTACTATTTTCCCCGGCGTTCCTTAAATAAATTTTCATCAACGAAAACCGCCAACTCGGCAGAGAAAAAAAAATTCTTTATTCGCGCGTGATACCTAACGACTTGCAATCGATGATCAATTTTCAATGATATTTTATAAATTGACATTTATATTGTTACTAAAAAAAATATTATACAGAGAGTATCTCTCGTTTCCTCATACACACAACTTATAGTTCAAATTGTTTACCATCTATATAGAATTCGGACGCAGAAAGTTGAATGTTGAAAGATGCTAATCGCGAGAGAAAACCTTTTACGTTCTCATTGCTCAACCTATTCCCATTTCTCACCCTCCGAAACACCGGGAGCAACACTCTCACGAGTAGCACGCGACCTACATGCGACGGCGGCACGCGAACATCCGTTTTCAAGGTCAGCGGGTTAATCCCCAAAGGTGATTGATCTGACCCGGCCACGAAAGTGCGAAGGTGCGAAAGGTGGAAAAAGAGAAATACGTACAAATATATACAGTCACGTCGCAAAGAGAAATATACAGAGTGGTCTTATACAAACCGACAAAAAATACACAACCGATGCCAGGATATTTCTCTCTCTTTTTGACAAAATTTTAAGAAATAAAAATTGTTATATAAATATCATTCTCCAAACAAATATAAAAAACAAATTTCTGCTTTTTGATTATTATTCGTTAAATTTACATATCACGAAACTTTATAGCAATTGCAATGCATATGTTACCAAATATATTGTCAAAAAAAGAAGAATATGAAACAAAAAATATAGAAAAGAGCTGCACGGCGGCAATGTAAAAAAAAACTCGCGATGCTAATGAACTGGCAATTCGATCCTGTAACAGGACTCAAGGGTCTTACACGAAGTTCTTCCCGTTCCTTGTGCGCGCTCGGTTTTCTTTCTATCCGCGAATCAACCCCGCCCGTTTCTACCTCTTTTTTATTTTCTCCGAGACGCTCGATTTAATTCACTCACCGTGAAGAGCCTTCAGGTATGCTTTGCCAGCGTTGATCAGCTGTCTGGCACCAGGATTGAACTTGTCCAAGATATTCTGAAAAAGAACGGAAAAAGCACTTTTAACGGATTACGTTACCGGGATAAAATATACGGAAAGTTGAAAGTTCAGGTTAGAACTCGCGCTTGAAAACTGATGATGAATTCAACGTCGTCAATGCTACGAAGATTATCGTTGCGTCGATAAATACAACGATATATTTATAACATAAGAACAGACAGAAATAGAACAGAAACGGATAAATACGTGGAATAGGTATGTAATATAGATCATAATTGAATATTGCGACGGAGAGGAATGAGCGTCAATGAATGCTTTCCGTCGCAGAAATAGTTCGTTGCGATGTCGGGAGTACAGAAATTATTTGTCAACAGATAATTGTTAGTAATAGAACGCGCGCGCGCGCACACACACCGACGGCAGAAATTGTTCTCGAAGAGAGACGTAATTACCTCTTTAAAACTGATATGCTCAGCTTTATCGGCGGAAGAGTTATAATGAACTTTGTTACGTTAGCGGATACATAGAAATTGTTTAGCAGTAGACAACTGGCAGAGAGATAGCATAAATTGGCTATCAAACTTTAGACACTGCACGTACCGCGAAACTTGGAGATGCAAGGAGATCCGATGTTTTGGAGAATTTCGAGGTATTTCGCGGAGAGTTCGAGACAGAGGAGATGTGTGTCTCTCCCCTCCGGTTCACACTGTTCAAGAATAAATTCTCGAAAAATTGTCTTCCGAGGTGAAATTTTCCTTCAGGAGACATCTTTCGAGAAGAATTGCCAGAATATATTCGACAAAATTCTCTGCACAAGAATAATAAATAATAAATCCAATACGCACGAACTTCCATACGAAATTTCACGTAAATGAAGTATGGAAGCTACTTAGAACCATCGAGGATTTAAACTCCTTCGGGCCTTAAGTTTTTCTCTAAATCCTCGATTTCGCGCGTCTCATAATTCAGAAAACGGCACGGTTCCCTCCCGTTCTCACGATGCACAACTTTTCTATGAGATATAAATCCCGAAATCTCAGTTAGACCAACTCGGAGAGTTAAGATCAATGTTTTCCCGAGGCATACAAAAACATTCATGGAGATCGTCCATCAATTGCTCGAGGCGGTGTTCCGCCATGTTGCCGGCGGCGACGTCACAGCAAGTCGGGCGACGACGACGCGTTCCGGAAGCGGAATCTGGTTTGGGGTTTCCCTTCCTTTCGGCGCGTCGCCGTCGAAGTTAAGGTGGCACTCACGAGGCGTAACTCCGTTGATGCGGTTACGATGTATCGATCCCTCCCGGTAAGAGCGTGACGGCTAAATTAAACTCGGCTCAACCCCCGACCTTCGCATTGGCCCCCAGGCCAGTCTTCCTCTCTCTCTCTCTCTCTCTTCTGTACCCTCTTCGAGTTTCGCGTCAGGTGCGTCGGAAGGTAACGACGACGCCGTCGTCGATTCAACATAGCGCGCCAATTATATTTCCGCGCGCGTTTCCGCCAGAAAATCCGAACGACGTCGTCGATACTAGAAAAGCCGTTATATCTGTGTGTGTAAAATCCGACGCGGTACACCTCAAACTCTCGACTCCGTGACTTCATTAACAGTTGCGAAATCACTTTACTGACTCACAGTCGAGATTAATTATCGCGCTCGCGATCGATTCGCGTTATGATTGCGCGATTTAAGTGCTTTTTCTCGACATGTGTGTATAATATTATACGCGTGTATTTCAATAAACGATAAAATTGATTGCGAAAAGATAAGACTTTTAGCGGTCAAGCGACTTCCCGCACGACCGGCCATGTTCTTACGTAACTTGGACGTGTGCCGCGGGGCAGAATTGCCGCTGTCGTGAAAGAATGCGAACGGGTTGAACGAACGATAGAGAATCGACTGTTCCTCTCCGCGCGTTAGCGAGATGAATATCTTGAGATATGCGCGCGTATAATAACGTACATACGTATCTTACGGAAATCGGTCAGGCCCATTAAGTCGCGTGCTGGGACTCAACGGCGCGTTGCGCAACGCGATTTTCAACGCGTTAAAATTCATACAAGTCTTTCAACACTACGCGGCTCTTCTCCGAGTCCGCCAAACAACTCTTTTATCCGTTTTTTTCTTTTTGTTCGCAAAAATACACAAATTTCACTTTGATTTATCTTTTGCTAACTATTCACGTCGTTAGAAAGGTTTTTCGCGCATAAATTGTTATTTATATCCGACACATTATATACGCGCGCGTTTTACCCGCTTTGCCTACGTCACTCATTCGTCGTTCACGTGTCATTTACGCGGCATTTTATTCCAGTTATATTCCACGTCCAATATTTACGGCGTTCTCGCGCCATTCATTATTGTATCGCGAAAATTCCCCCGCGATCCTAACGCGGGATTATGACTCCAAAGTGCGCGCATCATAAATCGCCGCGGTTCGATTTGTTTTTTCGAGATTTACGGCAAAGTAAAAAGTGTCGTCGGTCGATACGGGAGAGAAGGGAGAGAGGACCGAAGGTCCGCGCGCGGCCATGATCGATAAGGCCGCGGTAAATTTAGTCGGCCGATTCCGTTACAGTCCGCATAACTGGGCACGCAGCGGGCAAAATGGACTCGGCCCTCTCTAACTTCTCTTATTGGCGAACAGTCACTTTGAAGGGAAGAAGAAAGACAGAATGTGCGCAAGTGTGTGCGTGTGTTGAGTGAAAGAGAGAGAGAGAGAGAGAGAGACAGAGACAGAGAGAAAAAAAAAAGACATAAAAAGAGAAAGAAAAGAAAGAACCGAGGAAGCCAGAGATGAAGTCGAAGCCGATGAATGTCGACTAACGGTATAACGTTGCATGAATTTCGCGTGTGTGCGCGACGAGCATCCGCGTGCGGATTCTTGTCCGTCGGCCACTCCTACTATTCCTCGTTAAAACTTATTTTCCCTACGCGCAATTATAAATCTGCTTGTGAAACAGAGATAAATGTCATATCAATCTGACACGATTATTATTCGATTTTATAACTCCGACGAATATATTAATGACGATCGGATAATTTACCGAAATAATCTCCGGCTCAATAGCAGATTTGTAACCATGTGTCTCTCTATCGTCATTTGGAGGAATGCAAAAAACCGAGAAAAGAAATATATATATATATATATATATGTGTATACATATATGTACGTGGGTTCGCCGGACGACCCGGTGACCTCGTGAGCGGGGATTTACCGGTGGATATGGTCTTGCCCGGAGGATCCTCTCGAAGAAGCGAATCCTGCGGTCGTAATTCACCGCGGTTACCGTTAAACGGGGAAAGAGCTGCCACAGCGAGAGAGAATGACGGTTGCCGCAGTGAACGTACAAAAATGCAACCTGCCTCTGGTCAGGAGAGTGAAAATCGCCGCAGTGCCTCTCAACCGCAACGATTCGCCTGTTATAATAGTCAAGCGGACTCTCTCATTCCCCGATATTATCGCGTACCTTTATCCATAAGGTACGCATTACGACGACCACCGTGACAAATTTCACTTTCAACGCGCACATTTTCCTTTCGTCTTTTTCGTGCAATTTCTAACAATTACGTCTCACGCACTTTATATTTATTTATTTTGATTTCAGTCTCTTCACACCGTGTGATTTGTTGAAATAAATATGACGGTTCTGCCATCGGGGGGTTTGTTCTCTCTTAAAATTAATTGTTCTCGAAAGTGTTCTCGATTTCACGTGCTCTTTAAAATTTGTACACTCTCATGCGTATACGATGAAAAAAAGGCGAACTCGGAGGAGAGAAATCAGGTTATCACACTGCAAGTCAGGGTTAAATCAGGATTGCGAAGAAAAATCCTATCTCGATTAATTTTTGTTAATATACGCGAGAAAACAAGAAAAAGACGGGCTCAAGAAAGCGCGGAAAGAGAGAGACAGAAGTGATGTTTATTCATCTGGAACGACCCGTAAGAGGTGGAAGCGATAGCGGCTGATACCGTTAGCGGTGAGGAAAACCGACGTGTCAAACCGGTCGAATTTTTGGTGTACGCGATTGCACGTAAGTGCAGCTTAACCGTTTCGCAATCTTATGCAAACGCAATCTCATGTGCATACAACTGAGGTGCAACGAAGGTCAATGCGCTCGCTTTGAATTGTTAATCCTCTCACACCCGAGTGGTTAGATTTTTTTTTTTCCGACGAGATAGGAATGAACGCGTTATGTTTTCCTTTTCCTTGGAAATTAAAAAAAGTACTTCCTGTTCTTCGCTGCAAAAAAATTTTATTTTATTGAGATTCGCGAACGACAATATGAATATTCTTCGAGTTCACTCAACTCTTCTTGAAAAAAAAAAAAAAAAAAACAATGTTTTGAGAAACATAAAAAATTCAGATATTTAAAAAAAAATAGTATTTTTTTATCTTGAATATTCTTGCTGTTTCTTTCTCTCAGAAAATGTCTTAATTCGCGGAATTTCTCCTAACGTTCAATTTTCCCTTCAGTTGCGAGAGCATCGATCAAGCGAAATGAAGTTTTCCTTGAGGCAGAAATGGACCCGGTAAAGCACGGTGTAATCCTTACGAATTCTCGCCCGCCACGGACCCTTAATTACTCATTACGGACGTCATCCGCAAGCAGCGCCTTTATAATTGCACATACGTTACCGACAGACGACGCTATTTAATCGTTTCGTTGCGGGACGAAACGAAAGCCCTTTCTCTCTCTCTCTCTCTTCCTCTCTCTTTCACTTACTATCTCCATCTCCCCGACAGGAGCCTGACAAATTAGAGACACTCGCGAGCTTTAATGAGTTTTGGTCCTAATTAAGCCCGGGGACTCGAGCGAGCGTCAATACGTAAAGTTAACCGAACGGCGTGCACGAATAATCCCAGCGAGCGCGATAACGCGTAATTATCATTAATTGCCTCTCCCGTGGATAATCGCGTTAGCCAAAAAACCCGAAGAATTTTTCGCTGACGTAATGTGTGCCTCACAAGCTCTATCCACTCTTTGTGCAGAGCACAAATTTCGTAATTGTAAGAAAAGCATTGATAAGTAGAAAGAGA